CTACTCAGGACGACTGAGTGAGACTATCTCAAAAGGTTGCAGCCGTCATTGTTGTTTGGCGGGTCCGGGCTGGGGATTCGAACCCACCACTTTACGTGTACGTGGCTGGCGCCTTAGCCAGTTGAGCTATAAGCGCCGAGCCTACTCTGCAAATATTTGATGTGCATCTGTTATATGTCAGTTATTATACTGATAACTATGAATAAACTGACAAGCTCTCCTTAAATTGTAAAGATTTTTAAAATACCAACTAGTATTAATTTTCTATTAGTTTCTCTATGGATTTTTTTTTCCTTCTTAATTCATTCTGCCTTTAATTTATTGAGGTGGTCTCTTTCTCATTCCTTTTCTGAGGTTTCCTTTTTCTCCTTTCTTCTTACAGGATCCCTGGTTCCTTTCTTACACCATTTTCTCCTTGAAGCCCTACTTACTACTCTTTAAGCCTAATTGTACAGCTTTAGGTAGCCTCTCTGAGTTTATTTGAGTAACAGTGTCAGATCAGTCATTTCATTTCTCCTCTGTGGGCTCTTGGAACTGACATTACTTCCCCTTGTCACATTATAACAGGGCCAACATCCTCATCTAGAAGCAGCACATACTCTTCAGAAACCACTGCCACATCCTTGTAGAAGAGGCGGAAGATTCAGTAATGGAAAGACCCTTAAAGATCATTTACCCTTTTCTGGTCATCTTCACATCAGAGTGACCTGTGGATTTTGAACTCAAGCTATAGCACATCTTGCTGTTTTAATGATTTTTTTAAACCCATTAAACATTTAAGTCTAGAGTAAAGTGAGTGCCTAGCAGGTGATTAACTCTGTCTTGGCCTTGCCATAGTTCTAGTTCACACTTGTCCTACCCTAGTCCAACCGTACCATCAGCCTCAGTGGTTAGACCTTTATTTCACAGAATGGACCAGGGATGGGATTCTATCTAAAAGACAATGAGTGAACTGGATCACAGTTCTCTGGAGAATCCATCTTCCTCCTAATATTTTTGTAAAACTTCTGTTCGTGGTGCCAACAGGATGTGCCTGTGTCATTTGGGTACAGCCCTGAAAGCCAGCCCCTTTGGAGGTGCTTCCCATATAAAGGGAATTGTGCTGGAAAAAATAGGAGGTGAAGCCAAACAGCCAAATTCTGCCACCAGGAAGTGTGTCAGTATCCAGCTGATCAGGAATGGCAAGAAAATAATAGCTTTTGTGCCCAATGATGGTTGCTTGAACTTTAGTTCAAGGGGATGGAGATAGGGACAAGATGAGAGAAGGCTGTCAGACTTTTTGGATTCCATGGAATGAAACTGTAAAACTATTTGGCTTTGAACTGTGCTGTTTTCAAGAAGAGAGAATGATTACCCTGAAGGCGATTCGGAGATCATTATGGGTACCACCTTGGCTTCAGCTGGTCAGATGAATCTACCTGGAGCCTTAGGAGTGAGACAACAGCCCATCCGAGTCATTGACTCATCCTACCATGGGCTGTGGGGGGGTACCCTACAGAACTAAAGGGGTGGGGCCTCCCTGTAGAGATGGGCCCTGGAAAGCAGGACATCAAGCTAGAACATTATTCTCAACCCTAAATCTAAAGAGGTTTGCCCTGCCATATTTTGGACTTGCTTAGAATGCATCACCCCTTTCTTCTGATTTTTCTTGTTTGTAATGGGAATCTATCCTTTACCTGTCCCACTATTATATTTAGAAACATATAACTTGTCTGGCTTTATAGATACATAGCTGGAGAAAATTTTTTCCTTGGGATGGAGTCTCACCGATACCTGATTTAGATGATGTTTAGATGAAACTTTGGACGTTAAGCTTTAGAATTTATGGTGGAGTGAATTAAGAATTTTTACAGTTGTTGTCTGGACTCTGTGATTCACACCTGTAATCCTAGCACTCTGGGAGGTCAAGAATTCAAGACCACCTTAAACAAGAACATGAACCTGAACCTGTCTCTACGAAAAATAGAAAAACTAGTTGGATATGGTGGCATATGCCTGTACTCCCATTTAGTTGAGAGTTTGAGGCAAGATGATCACTTGAACCCATGAGCTATGAAGATGCCAGGGCACTCTACTCAGGACGACTGAGTGAGACTATCTCAAAAAAAAAAAAAAAGATCTGGAACACTAAATGTATTCCATGTCCTGCTGGAGCAGTGGTTCTCAACCTTCCTAATGCCGAGAGCCTTTAATACAGTTCCTGTGGGTCATGGCCCACTGGTTGAGAACCGCTGTGCTAGAGGGGCGTGAATTTAGGGGAAGGGAGGTAGAACGCTATGGACTGAATTGTGTCCCCCCAAATTCATATGTTCAAATCCTAACCCTATTAGGACAGAATTTGCCAGATTTTACTATGCCCTACAGTCTTAAATCTCATCTGTTTGTACATTTATGTTACCTGCCTGGCCTTGTCGGCATTTGAGTTTATAAATTCTAGGGTAAATCATAAATGCTATAAAAATTGAGATACATCATTAAAGATTAGTAAAGATTATTTAGGGAAAAGCAAGAAGGCTGGACCTAGGTAACGAGTGGAATGTAAACCCCATGAAGGAGAAACCCTGCCTGACTCATTCTCTGCTGTCTCTATAGCATCTCATAGACTGCAGAGTTTGAATGAATGGCTACCTTGTGTTCTCCCCACACACTAGAATCCCTTAGTCTCTGGGCCCAGATTCTCCAAATGATAGGAATGGTCATGGCCATGCTTTTTCAACGGCCCATAGACTGCTATGATTGCCTGTAAATTCCTGTTTGATGGCCTAGCTTCCATTCAGTCACTATTTAAGTAACTGAGATTATGCTTAATCTCTGTGTGTCTGATTCTGGTCACTTTCAGGGTATCATTTCCATAAATCTTGAATACCAGAGGTAGGAGTAGAAACAATGTAGACTGTCTGGATTATTATGTAAATAATTGGGGAGGAGTGCGTGAATGATCAGAGAGTTACTAAGGAACAGGTGTCATCCAGATACACACTCTCAGCTCAGCCTTACCTGCATCATCATCACTTGGGAGCTTGTTAGAAATGCAGAATCCCACACTCCACTCAGACCTACTGAATCAAAATCTGCATTTTAAAGTGATCACTAAATGATTTGTATGCACATTAAATCTTGAGACACACTACTTTTATAGCAGTGGTTCTCAAACTCAAAACAGGGATCACAGTCACCAGCAGGGCTTGTTAAAACATAAACTGGCCATGGTTTCTGATGCAGTTAAGTCTGTAATGGGGCCCAAGACTTTGCAGTTTGTTTGTTTTGAGATAGACTCTCACTCTGTTGCCCCAGGCTAGAGTGCTAAAGTGTTAGCCTAGCTCACTGCAACCTTGAACTCCTGAGCTCCTGGACTCCCAGAGTGCTAGCATTACAGGTGTGAGCCACCAGCTCACCTTCCTTTTTTTTTTTTTTTTTTTTTTTTGAGGCAGTTTCACTTTCTCATACTTCACAGAGCTCAAACTCTTGGGCTTAAGTCATCCTCCTGCCTCAGCTTCCCCAGTAGCTGGGATTACAGGTGTCCCCCACTAACCCTGGCTAGTTTTTCTATTTTTAGTTGAGACAGGTTCTTACTCTTGCTCAGGTTGTTCTCAAACGCTAGAGCTTAAGCAGTCCTCCTGCCTCATTCTCCCAGAGTGCTAGGATTACAGGCATGAGCCACCAGCTGGCCAGAATTTGCACTTTTGACACTTAAAGAACTACTAGATACTCTTTGACTTTAATCACATTCTATTTATGATCATTTATTTCAGGTTTGTTTTTAATCTCTCCAGTAAGACTATAATTCTTTTTTTTTTTTT